TTGACGATTGGCGATGAAACCTCATTTCTACTGTATTAATGAGTGCCTGTCAAAGGTGACCGATGACCTTTCAAATGGTCAACCCTGAATAGACGTGATTCCTAGATGAATATCATAAAGTCCTAATCTAAGCTAAAAATAAGTAACGTGTAAGTATCGCCTTTCCTCAAATTTGACGTAAGGCCAGACGGTGCACGTCTGTTGGATCACCTGGACTTTGCTTGTGCCTGGTGTCAGAAGCGAACACAAAAAAGTGTTAAGTGTAAATAAGCAAATGTTTGTGCGTTAAAGATGCGGGAACATGGAAAACTTTCTTCAATGTTGGTCGCTAACGACCACAGCGTTATTTGTAGGTGTTCGCCGCCGGCATACGCTGTCGAGGAACTGGCCTCGATCGGATGAGCCGGCCTGACAGCCTGTCGGACATAAATAACCTCGTAATGTCAGAGGACCCAACAGCGGACGGCGGCGACTGACCACACCGGCAAACCACCGGACTCGCCACCAGCGCTACCTCACCACAGACGATCAGTCGATGTGCCGCTGTCACGCGGCGCTTCACAAGGCCGTTCACAGGTGGGCCGTGGAAAACAACACAGAAACACATGAGTGCGTTTCGTCTCGCAGACCATCAGTCAAACAGCTGTCAAAAACCAGTATCAATCAATCATCGATAATCCTTACCAGAAAAGTTGTCGTTCGCAACAGCGGTTAGTGGTCATAAATTATTGAACTTCGCACGTTTAGCTGATACTTTATGTGACTCGACAGTAGACTATTATCCTCGCCTTCCCGACTTCACGACCATTCGTCATGTGATGTCCCAGTCTCGTTCTACTGTTGTCCTTCTTTATATGTCTGATATGTGCTGGATATACTAGAAGTAATCAATGCCGAATAACTGTCCTTCAGGGATATACTTTTATTTGTTAACGATTTTCCCTTATTGCTAGTTATCAGGTGAGTCACGGCCAAGTGCAACGACAAGAGAGGCTCGAGTTGGACAGCATGGCCGTACCTAGCTGATTCTGTAATGACCGCTCCGGCATACAAACGCATCCTTAAGCCAAAAGCCAGCTGCCTCAATGAGAAGCAACAATGATGTATGCCATCCTTCTTTCGGCTGACGAGGTGATGCTCAGGCTTAGGAGATGCTGTCTCGAAGGGTTTTCCAGGTTTGGGCCTTCGATTTTTCTGCCATATTCAGTCAAACATGGATTCATCGTTCCAGTTAACTGCCTCAAGATACTTCTATATTTTATCAAAATTTCGGATACCATAACAGTTTTAAATTATTTTTAGTATTTGTCCTTTTGTCTCTGGTTGCATTTGTGCTTGAATTACATTTCCTTTATTTCCCTGTGACCGATCCAATGAAACATGCCTTTGTCATGCTTCTCTGACATCAGCATTAAGCTTTAAAGTGTTCCCCATGAAACATTTCGATGTAGTCCTTTTGCTGACACTACACACCAGTTCAGTCTGAACAATGGTATTTCAACGGAGGCTCGTGTCTCGTGAAGGTAGCCAAACATTCCGCTCCGTATCGAGGCATCCTTCTGTCCTGTTTTCTCTTTGTTTCATAGGCATCCTTTTCTACACAGCACACCGCTCTCTCTCTCTGTCTCTTCACTTCTGCCACTCATTTTCTGACCGATATCATAATTCGGTTCTGACTGTTTCTTGGTTTTGCGATGGAAACAAAATTCTTAAATTCTACAGTTCAAAAGAAACAGATTTTTCGTCACTTACCCGGTTCTCCTCGTGAAAAAATGCATGGTACAAGCCGACCTGTTTCTATTCAGCTTCTACCTCACCTACTCAGGTCATTTTTCTTAACGGCAGTTCTTCATGTTTCGGTTTTGCTGCCACTGCCTCCTCACTTTAAAACCTAATATTAGATAATTTGAATAGAGCACGGGTCACTTCTTACAGATCGTTTGCGTTTTCTCTTCAGTCATAAAACAAATAGCCTATGTGCCGACTCTTTATGGTTTCTTAAAGAGTTTGCTTCCTGTCGCTTTCGTTACATCATCCCCTGAGCATCGTTGTACTGGAATCAATCATTAGGTTTGTCCATGAATCGTGACCTGCAGTTAGGAAGATAGATAGCATGAGAAGAAGGTTCCACTCTTTTTCCTCACTCTTTAATGACATAGTGATTAACCATTGGCAGTTCTTCTCCTTTACTAGTAAATGACGTTTTTGTAGATTTAGGTTTCAAGTTTGGCCTACTACTGCCAGTAGGTCAACCGTCAGGTATATGAAGGACATCAAGTGTTCAAATAAAACATAATATGGAGCTTAAACTACTTTGCAAGCACTTTATTACGCATAATTATTAAGACCAAATCGCGTCAGTGCCTAATTTGGAAGGCATACACTTCGTTGACAGTTTGAGAGGCTTATGTGCTTCAAACATATAAACGTCTTCCTTTTAGGGCAGGTACTCAAAAACAAGATGCTCGCTAATTTTTCTACCCGCTTCATCTTCACATTCAGATGATGTTCCGAACTGTGCTTTACGCGTTAACGGTTTTCTGCTATTAGGACAATATTCCAAGGTCATATTTTCAGCGTAAATTAAAGGCGATGTTAACGGAGAGTGGGAATTCAGAATGATATTCTGTTAGGGGCAAATTTTACATTTTGCCAGTATTATTATCTGGTATGTGCTGATTGGTCTCACTTCATTTATACCTTATAGGAAGGGTTTTGCGATTTTTTTTGTCGAAATCGTATACATTTTCTTCATATACTGTAGAATGTCAGGTAGGTGGTTCGGAAGTTCGGACAGAACATTAGTTTTCAGTGTTTCAGAGTCACCCTTGCCATCGAATGTCATAATGTGGATGTTCAGGAGCACACTAAATCACATGATGCTGCGGTGCAGTGAGGGAATTCGACTCTGAATTCCGCTATCTGTCAGGCTTGGTCTGTCTGACTCTTATGCGAAGGAAAGTCAGATGTAGTTGAACAGGTCCACAGTTGAAGATCGTGACACAAGCCTGAAATGAAGTTACTAGAGAAATTAGCTGCAGCGATCATTGTGACAGCAGTACTACAGTTGTTGCTGTAACTAACGAAATACTGGAACGTGAAAAAAAACTATGGAAATTACAGTAGAGTTGATAACATTATTGCAGCGCAGTAACCAGTGACCACATTGTAGTGACGGCAAGAAGACATCAGACGAGCCTACTGTCAAACCGCAAGGATGAGTGACCGGATCTACAATAAGACGAAATATCAAATTTGAATTGTAAGGCCAGTTTGCTTCAGGTAGAAACCCGACTCAAAGGGCTAACCCTCGTTAAACGGAATTCACTCTAATCAATCGCTTGGCATTCTTTTTTTCCATCAAAAGACTCAAAGAACGGTGGAGCAAAGTTAATGCTCAAGAGTATTAGTTATTAAGGAATAGCATGCGCCTTGCTGGATAACCTTAGTAATAGTATTTGACGATGGGCGCACCACTGTTCTAATAAACTGGATATAGCGATTGTGCGCACACTGAAACCCAGTGTATCACATGCTCTGCCTCGATTTGTTCATACTTATCTTATCATGTGCAACGTTTCATATTCGACCAGCAAGGTATTGGGCAAAATATTTAGGATGTTGGCAACAAGCACAAATATGACTTTCAGAATATCGCTGATGTGATCATAGTTCTCAGGAAGCCACTCTAAACAGAACAAAACTCTTTTACGAGTTACTTGAACTTTGCCACCTTTCATGGCCACATTGATTTCCCAACGCTACCTCAAACCTTATCTACTGAGGCTTGAACAATATCAGACTCATGAAGTCGAATACAGCCGATGTTCTATCGCCCGGGTACTGTCTCAGTGAAAGAACGCATTCTCTGCCTTTGATGAAATGCTGTACGAAAACAAAGATACTGGGTTCGAGTCGACTACTCTGCCCCATCGCTCTTGTTGTGAGGTATATGGATTATCTTGTTTCCGCAAGAAATGACCGACACGTGGCGAAGCGGATTACTGGCCGATACCAGTGTTCCAAGTGAGGACCATTTTAAACGAAAATTCATAAGGCTTTGTCATCACAATTTACCGATTAGTCTTTATTACCCTTAAATTCATTAAATGCAAAACCGCTGCCTCAACTTTGTTGCTGATATACAGGAAATCTCGAAAACAGTAGAAATAACGCTGTTTATTTATACACTATTAAAATTTTGGTCAATCATCTGAGTCAGTAGCATCTGCGTTTCAGCCAGTGTCTCACGGGCCTCCCACAAAGCAGGGAGGTACGTGAACGTGAACCTCTGAAGCTTATTGTCGTCTGCAGTCATTGGCACATTCAGAGTCAAAAGGTCCTAATGCCTTTTATGAAAAATTGTCTTTTGCACTGTTTCCGTTATGACCACCAGCTCACGAGCAAAACACTCAAACTACATGAATTCTCTGGGTATAACTAATCATCTACAAAATACATTGGGGAAAGAACTCCAAATCATACAGCCTTTCTTCCACATCTCGATTTTGCTTCAGGCTGATTGGTCTTTTGAATGTTCTGCATGTCGTAAACGTACTCAGTTCGTTAAACGGCTAAGACTTTTCGCTGCAGTCATCAGTCAACCTTTTGACTTCATGAAATTCATATGCAGCTCTTAGATAATATAGGTTACAAGTACCTCCCATCCAATAAAACTAAACACTACCCGACGATAAAGAAAGACGACAATGCGCGGTGTTTCTTAAACCTTATTGACAGATCTTTTAAAATTAATTATGATGACTCAATTATAATTTTTTACATGATTCATATATCCGAGGATACTGCTAGAGTGCTGACAAGGAAGTGTCCAGGCACATAGTGACTATACAGCAGTTTCCAGGCATATCTGTCTCTAAGGATCTAATTTAGGATCCATGAGTTATAAGGAATCATGTACGCGTGTTAGCCATATCCTGTTTCATTCATGGAATGGGTCAAAGTTATATACTGGGAGGGCTTTCAAATCGTTTTGAGGAAGAACCATAAGAAACATTCTTTCGTTGTTCATGATTGAGAACGCAGTTATGAGCTTGTATCTTGATATCACGTAGCTAGGAGGTCCGAAATTCGCTGCATATCTCAACTATATAAACAAGATGAGGGACGCCTGTACAACCTCCTTGGTACAGTGGAAAAGGGATCAGCTTCGAACTCAAGAGGTGCTGAGTCTGAATCCGCTGAAGGTATGCCCTTCGCCTTATCCATAAATTCTCTTGAACGAGGAAATGGGGGCCCAAATTACTTCGTTACGACTAACGGAAAAGACGTATGGTAAGTCGGTGATTTGCGAATACTACGAATAGCATAACATAATGGCCACTTTGAGTGCCTCCCGACTTTGCCTTCTGCCCGATAGCTGGCTGTCCAGTGTAATGAACAACACAAGACGTAGCTTCGATTTCTCATGTCTTTCTTCTTGACATGGTTAAAGGCAAGGATTACTGCACTTATAATATAGGCAACCTCAGTTTCCTTCTCAATAACTGTAAGCTCATAAATTTGTCTTAAAAACACTGTTAGAAAATCGACTCACCCGCAATCTTAGCAAAAGATACATTTACGCTATACATTTTAGGCGCATAC